ATACCTACAGTACAGGACATCCCTCACAGATGTCAGTAATACTGAAGTTGAGAAACTCAAGGACAGTGATGAGAAGAGCAGAAGCAATTGCAGGTTGTGAAATGGATTTGGAATTATTTCACGTATGGTTTGCTGTGCTAGATCTGACATATAGGGTCACCCAGAATTTCCTGGGGCTTCACATAAGCAAGAGCATTTTGAGCAGTCTTCAGAGAATGGAGGAAATGTGTGCTCAAGGACAATCTTCCTCTGATTAAAGTAGGTAGCATAGGAGCTCTGGTAGCATAGTGCCTAAGGCACTTGACTGCTAACCAGAAGGCTGGTGGTTCAAACCCACCAGCCACTCCTCGGAAGGAAGGTTGGGCAATCCTACTTGCGTAGTGATACTGCCTCAGAAACCCAAGGAGGGGTCGCTATGAGTCGGGCCAACTTGACGGCTAACAACAACAGCATAGTGCCTAAGACACTTGACTGCTAACCAGAAGGCTGGCGTTTCAAACCCACCAACCACTCCTCAGAAGGAAGGTTGGGCGATCTTCTTCCGTAGTGATACTGCCTCAGAAACCCAAGGAGGGGTCGCTATGAGTTGGGTCCAACTCGATGGCACATAACAACAACAACAACAACCTTTTCCAAATAAATGAAATGTAAATTTACTTTGCATAGTTCCAACATCTTGCTTTTAAAGAGGGAATGGTATCTTGAGGGCCATAATCCGCACTAAAAACTTTTCTCCTTTTTGAAAAATTTCCTTTAAAATGGTCATATTTGTAGAATCAAGGTTGTGAAATATTTCAGAGGATTAAATATTGTGTATGCTGGGAGCTATGGCAAACATACAGGTGATTAGTTCATCTGTGAACTAACATTTGAAGTTTGAGATGCTGGCCAACATAGTAGGTATGCCACAAAGTAGACTAATGGAGCCTTTTAAAATCTTTGCTTTGATGTAGTGTGTAATGTAAATTTAAACCATTACTCATTTCTATTCAAAACACATATATAATTACATGTATGTGAATGTATGTGTTCCTATTTTAAATACATATACATTTCTGTATACACACGTGTCTGTATGGCAGTCATTCTGACACTCAAGTCAAGTTTTGACATTCTGATAGAAAAATAATTTTTGGAATTATAGCAGTGTTTCTCAATCTTTTTAAAATTTTATGCCCTCTTCCCCCCAGCTAAGGTGATTTTAAGACACGTTTCCTAACTGTGAAATTTTAGTGCCATTATACTGTGTATCTGTTTGTGCATGTATGCATATTTGTGCTTTATATGTAAAAAGAATTATTTTTCATCCCCAAAGAACCAGTTTTCAACCCTTTGGGGATAATTTTGCCCCTTGATAATACATGTATTTATTAGAGTAACAGAGCATTGTGATTCCACAGAGTGCTTTGTATTGTATAGTATGACTTTACAAAGGGCAGTAACTTTTCTACACACCTCAGTTATCAACAGTTCTCTTTCATCTGAAAATTTGTGTCTAGTTGCATCTCTATTTGGCCCATCCTTATCCAAAAGAAATTGTAAAAGACAATTAAATCATATGAATTTTAACCTGTACTTAAATATTGTTGCTGTTAGGTGCCATTGAGTAATTTTGAACTCATAGCAACCCCGTGTGACAAAGTAGTACTCCCCCATCGGGTTTTCTTAGCTGTAATATTTATGAAAGCAGATTGCCAGGTCTTTCTTCTGTGGAACTGATGAGTGGATTTGCTTTAATTAGTAGCCAAGTGCTTAATCATTTGCACCATTTATGTACCATAAAACTCACCCTTACAAAGTATACAATTGAGTGGCTTTTAGTATATGCATAGAGTTGTGCAACCATCACCACATCCCAATTTTAGAATATTTTCATCATCCAAAAGGAAACCCTGGTTAAAATGAAAACTTTTGTGCTTACTTTTATGTTTACCATCAAAAAAAGTGAAAAGGTAACAAACAGAATGGGAGCAAATATTTGCAAATCATAAATCTAGTAAGGGCTTGTACCTAGAATATATGTTATTGTTGTTGTTATTTGCCATTGAGTCGGACCCAACTCATAGCAACCCCTCCTTGGGTTTCTGAGGCAGTATCACTACAGAAGTAGATTGCCCAACCTTCCTTCCGAGGAGTGGCTGGTGGGTTTGAACCGCCAGCCTTCTGGTTAGCAGTCAAGTGCCTTAGGCACTACGCCACCAGAGCTCCCTCACACATACTAGGATGGCTTTAATTAAAAAGATAGACAATAGCAAATATTCCCAAGGGTGTGGAGACATTGGAACCCCCTCATATATGGCTGGTGGGAATGTACAATGGTGTAGCTGTTTTGAAGAACAGTTTACCAGTCCTCAAGAAGTTAAACCTGGAGTTACAATGTTGTTGTTATGGTGTGGCGTTGGGTCAATTCTGACACAGTGACCCTATAGGACAGAGTAGAACTGCCCCGTAGAGTTATCATATGATGTAGCAACTCCACTTTTTCTAAGAGAAATGAGAACATATGTCCACCATATACTTGTACATGGGTTTTTTTAAGAGGGCGATGGAATGGTCTAAAATTAGATTGTGGTGGTGGTTGTACAACTCTGTAATATACTAAAAACAAGTGAATCGAATTGTACACTTTAAATGGGTAGATTATATGGTATGTGAATTATATCTCAGTAAAGCTATCTTTAAGAAAAGATTAAAAGAAGCAAAAAAAGAATATTCCCCACCACCATCACCTATTAGCAGTCACTCCTCATTCCTATCTTTTCCCCACAGCCTGTGGAAACCACTAATCTGCTATTGGGCTCTATAATTTGCTATTCTGGACATTTCATGTAAATGGAATTATATAAGATGTGGCCTTTTGTGCCTGACATCTTAAATTTAGCATAATGTTTTCAAGGACCATCCATGTATAGCATGTACCAAGACTGCATCCTTTTTGATTGCCAAGTAGTACTCCATTGTATGGACAGATGATATCTTGTTTATCCACCCATCAGTTGATGGACATCTAGGTTGTTCCTACTTTTTAATACTGCTATGAGCATTGGTGGACAAATTTTTGTGTGGACATTAGTTTTCAGTTCTCTTGGTTATATACCTGAAAGTGGAATTGTCCAGTGATATGGTAACTCTAGGAGCTCTGGTAGCATAATGCCTAAGGCACTTGACTGCTAACCAGAAGGCTGGTGGTTCAAACCCACCAGCCACTCCTCGGAAGGAAGGTTGGGCAATCTACTTCCATAGTGATACCACCTTGGAAACCCAAGGCGGGGTCGGTATGAGTAGGGTCCAACTCAATGACGCATAACAACAACAACAACATGGTAACTCGATGGTTAACTTTTTGAAAAGCTGCCAGACTATCTTCCAAAGTGGCTGCACCATATTACAGTCCAGCTAGCAACTGTATTTTAAGTGAAGAAAGGGTATATACTCCTTAAAGCAAGTTTCTCAGGTCCTCAGCCAGATTCTCCCCTTCCCTGTCCCTCACAATCCCTTAATTGGCAGACAGAAGTTTAAACTCATATTTGTAGGGCTTTACCAACCCCTTCTTGAAACACACATGCACTCACCAGTTTCCAGACTCTCTTGAATCATAGATTCTACCCAGCAGCTTTTCCTGAGCACCTCACTGACAGAGCAGAGCACCTTTCTGACAGAACAGAGCACCTGTGAGAGCTTTTCCTCTTTAATAATAGAGTACCATCCTCAGGCCTCTATCCCCTTTTGAGAAACTCATCTTAAGAATATACATGAAGCTTTCTTAATTCTGAGACTTTTTGGCTACATACATCTATATTTTCTATTTCAGATAGCTTTTTTTACACTCCACATCCCTACACCAAACAGCACTCTAAAGTGTAGTTGGGGCTTAAATGAGGGGCTGGTCCAGCCAGTGTCTGTTTCTGACACTTGCATAGTCCAGTGAGTGCAGTTGGGGGATCCTCAGTGTGGTCAACCATTAACAGTTGCTGTGGAGTCAACTTTAACTCATAGATAGCCCTGTGTGTGTCAGAGTAGAACTGCTCCATAAGGTTTTCAGTGGCTATGATCTTTCAGAAGTAAATTCCCAGCCCTTTCTTGGGAGGTGCCTCTAATAAAAACAAACCAAACTCATTGTCATGGAGTCAATTCCGACTCATAGCAACCCCCACTGGGTTTCCGAGGGAGTAAATCTTTACAGAAGTAGATTGCCCCATCTTCCTTCCTCTAGGTGGACTCAAATCTCCAGCCTTTTGGTTAGCAGTCGTGTGCATTGATGGTGGTACCACCCAAGGACTCCAGTCAGCCATTAAACCAAAAAAAGCCAAACCAGTTGCTGCTGAGTCAATTCTGACTCATGATGACCCCACATGTGCAGAACAGAACTGTTCTGTAGGATTATCAAGGCTGTGAACTTTCAGAAGTAGATTTCCAGACTTTTCCTCTGAGGTACCTCTGGCTGGGTTCCAAATACCAACCTTTCAGTTAGTCGAGTGCTTAACCATTGACACCACCCAGGGACTTCTAGTCAGCCTTTACATGGCCTCAAAACTATTTAGGTTTTCAGCCTCTCCCACATCTTGGGAGTAACAAATTCCATATGTGGATTACTCTTGGTTCACCTAGTCTTTCCTTTTTCTTGTTCCAAGATGGCCTCTGTAAACCTTTGAGGATTGCTGCTTCGGTCAGCCTACAGATTTGGTGCAATCTGATTATTCACCCTTTCTGTGCCCTTAATGATAGAGCAAGATGTTTCCTTCCAATCTATATAATAAAAAGTCCCAGTGCCTTTAGCCCATGCTTACATGTCAAGTATCTGTGTATGTACTCACAGTCTCCATGTCCTGGGCAGGCTGTTCATCTCCCCAAGGCAAAATACACCCCTCTGGGCTGGTACAAAGTGGGCATGTATTGCTCAATGAATATTGCTGAATGGAGGAATATGTTTTGTTTTGTAAATGCAATGTGTGTTCCACACATCACTTATGTGCTACACATAACTGTGTTCTCTTTTGTAGGCTATAGGCTGTACTCTGAACTGCAGTTGCCCAAGTTTCAAACCAGGGAAAATAAACCACCGGCAGTGTGAACAGTGCAGACATGGTTGGGTGGCCCATGGTAACTTTATTTTTTTCTTCTCTTTTGTATTATTTCTTCCATACACTTCTGTTTTTTTTTTAAGACCTGATTTAATGTCTAAGAATGAGAGCTAACATTTATAAGTGACTGCTGTGTACCAGGTAATACACTAAGAACATGACATATGTTGTCTCTTTGAATCTGAACAGCTTTGTTTGTTTTATTTGCCCCATTCTAAAGATGCAGAAACTGGTACATTAGTGCTATCATTCTAATAGAAATGTTCTTTGCTATCCAGTACAGTAGGTGCTGGCCTAGGGTTGCCAGATAAAATACAGAATGCCTAGTTAAATATGAATTACAGATGAACAGTGAATTACTTTTAGTATAACTATGTCCCAATGAATTTTTTAGTGTAAGTATATCCTACTTATTCATTGTTTATCTGAAATTCATATTCAGATTTAACTGAATGTCCATATTTTTATTTGCTAAATCTGACAACCCTACACTAGCCACATATGGCTACTGAGTATTAGATATGTGACCAGTGTGACTGAAGAACTAAATTTCTAGTTTTAATTAATTTAAATCTAAATTTAAATAGGCACGTGTGGGTTGTGACTAATGCATTGGATAGCACAGGTTTAGGAGGTTTAATTTGCCAAATCAGACAAATGGGAAGCAGCATATTAGGGCTCAAACCCAGATCTGTCAGACTCCCTAATCCAAGTGATTCACCTGCAGCCTCTAATCTTCCTGATGATCTATCCTCCTGATTGCCCACCAGCTATTTGTGTTTTTCCTGCCTTTTCTTTATTCTTTCCCAACTTGTGGCCATTCTGCTTAGAGATCTCACATTAAAGGGATTTGATAAAGGATAAAAAGAAAACTCTTAGTCCAGTTCATTTGATTTTAGCAGTTCCTGTGAATAACTTGGAGCTTGATAGCTATTAAGGTTATTAATCGTATGTGCTCTTGTGTTTTTTCTATTGGAAGAGATAATTGAACTTTAGCTACAGTCTACTTTTTACTCAGTGTTTCTCTTTAAAGTGTAGCTTTAAAAATGAAACTCTTCAATTTGATTTTTCAGCTCTAAGTAAGCTAAGGATCCCTCCTGTGTATCCAACAAGCCAGGTGGAGATTGTCCAGTCCAATGTGGTGTTTGATATCAGCAGCCTCATGCTCTATGGGACACAGGCTATCCCTGTTCGCCTGAAAATCCTACTGGACCGGCTCTTCAGTGTACTAAAACAAGATGAGGTCCTCCAGATCCTACATTCCTTGGACTGGACCCTTCAGGATTATATTCGTGGATACGTGCTACAGGTACAAGGCCATTCCCCTGGAAAGCCTTCTGAAATCTATGTCCACGTAACTTCTGTAACCCTGTCACCTACCAGTGCTATAACCATTAGTGATCATCCTTCCCTTTAACTCTATTTTTAATGATTTGAAACTCCACCTCATCGTCTGGGTGGAGCCCAGTGTTTTACCCAAGATTTCTGTGAAACTCCAGAATGTGGGAGCTTTATATTTTCTCTGATTTGGGTTTCACAAAGCCAGTTCTTCCGTAGTAAACCATTTGCTCTGTCTCAAGCGCTACCTTCTGTTATCTCCAAACTGCATACTGACAAGGAGTTCCTGAGTGATGCAAATGGTTAACATGCTCACTGGAAGGTCGGAGGTTCCAGTCCATCCAGAAGCACCTCAGAAGAAAGGGCTGGTGATCTACTTTTGAAAAATCAGCCATTGATCTCCTCTGACCACATGGGATCATCATAAGTCAGAATCAACTCATTGTCAACTGGTTACTGCTACCTAATGACACAAGACACTATATATCAGATGTTGAGGGTTTGGGGGTGAGAACAGAAACTTACATTACAGAATTATATAGCAAACAACTTCTAGTTTCATGCTACACATTCTTGTTTTTCAAAGCCCTCTGCCATCCAACTGCTGCTTTTTCTTCACAGACTCCATCATCATGTGATATTCTTGTGTATTCATGCTTGTGGTATTCATGCTCTTCACTCTCTCCCTTCACGTTTTCTCTCCTTTTCTCCATTGTTCCATGCCCATCATTCCTTCTCTCCTCTCTTTATTTTGGAAGATAGTTTTACCTCTCGTTCTAGACCACGCTATGGGGATAGGCCTCATGCTTTATATCCAAAGAAACTATCAAGGTGTTTTCCCAAGCAAAGAGCATATTTCCAGATATGAATTATATTATTTTTTTAACATATGGAATAGCTGTAGCATTTTTTTCTTGCCCCTGTGCTAGAAAATGTCAGCTAACTTTGGTAACAATTTTAATGAAATGTGGGAATGAATGTATTTCCAAGACTAACACAGATTTCAGCCTTTATCAGGTAGTCCACATCATTAAAAAGAATATTATTAATTAACTTAGATCCTGTCCTGCGTGCTGAGTGCATATTCACCCCTAATCCTCAAAATAATCTGACAAGGTAGTGTGTATGTTATCCCCATTTTCAGCTTGAAAAACCAGAGGTTCAGAGTGTATGAAATCTTGTAGGAAGTCACTCATCTAGTATGTGGCAAACCCAGAATTTTAACCCTCTTTCTTTCTAACTCTAAAGCCCATAATCTTTTCTCTTGAAATAATTTTTGTTCACCTTGAGTTCAGGGCCCCCAGCAGGCTGGAAACAACCTTTTATGTAGAATAGCATTATGATCTTACATTATGACATAGATCAATATTTAATGATCCTAATAATCTTGCTTTCTAGTGTTAGGATTAAAAATATGGAATCAATTACCTTCAACCTCTATTGCATGAAAAATTTATGATGTTACATTCCTCATCATCTTTGAAACTCTTACATGCACTGTGAAAAATCTCAGTGGGCCATCAAATACATGTTCTGTGATAAAATATTTATTGTAGTTTTAGGAAAAGTTAGACCTGGCTAGAGTTTGAAAGTTCTCCAACACTCCAGTATAATTACAGCTCTGCTTTGTGAGCATAGGCAATAGATCAATACAGGTTCATTTGTTTTCTGATGTTAGTTGCTTGGGGAGATTATTAAACTTGCAGCAAATGAACTTGAACTATACCTAGGCCTGATTGCTCTGTTTATACTCTTTAGATAAAGAAGTTACACATATTTTTATCTTAGTGAGAAAATTATTATGTCTAAGACAGAGGTACCGTGGTGGTGCAGTGGTTAAGCACTCAGCTGCCAGCCAGACGGTAGACAGTCCAAACCCACCAGCTGCTCCATGGGAGAAAGATGTGGCAATTTGCTTTTATAAAGACAACAGCCATGGAAACCCTATGGGGCAGTTCTCCTCTGTGCTGTAGTGTCACTGTGAGTCATAATTGAATCAACAGCACGCAACAACAACAATGTAAGAAAGCCATTGGTTTAAAACAAGATGGAAAATAAACACCAAATTCCCTGACTTAGCTTAAGTAATAAAATTTTATTTCTCTCTTTTGGACCAAATGTAAGACTGACACTTATATTTGTGCACTTTATTCTCTGTACAAAATTTCTGAACCAGGAGAGTGTGTAAGTGGAGTTGGACTCATCAAGCTTTGTGCTCATCCAGAGGGGGGAATCTTTTTTTTTTAACAGGCACACATGTGCCCTATAGGCTAGTAAAAGTCCTTGTGTTAGGAAAAATGGTGCAAAATAATAGATTGACCATACCCTTGAATTCTGGTTTGGATTTAGGACGCATCAGGAAAGGTTTTGGACCACTGGAGCATCATGACCAGTGAGGAGGAAGTGGCCACCTTGCAACAGTTCCTCCGCTTTGGAGAGACCAAGTCCATAGTTGAGCTCATGGCAATTCAAGAGAAGGAAGAGCAGGCCATCATCATACCACCTTCCACAGCAAATGTGGACATTAGGGCGTTCATCGAGAGCTGCAACCACAGGGGTTCTAGCCTCTCCACTCCCATGGACAAAGGAAGCCATAGCAGTGTACATCCCTTTGAGAACCTCATAAACAATATGGCTTTCATGCTGCCTCTCCAGTTCTTCAACCCCGTACCCCCTGCTCTAATAGGCTCACTGCCTGAACAGTTTATGCTGGAGCAGAGTCAGGACCAAAGTCAGGACCCCAAGCAGGAAATTCATGAATCCTTCCCTGACAGCAGCTATTTGACTTCCAATTCCACACCATTTCAAGTCGAAAAAGAGCAGTGTTTAAACTGTCCAGAGACTGTTACTCAAAAGGAAGACAGTGCCCATTTAAGTGACTCCAGCTCATACAACATTGTCACTAAGCTTGAAAGGACACAGTTGTCCCCTGAGGCCAAATTGAAGTCTGAGAGGAACAGCTTGGGCACAAAGAAGGGCCGGGTGTTCTGCACAGCCTGTGAGAAGACCTTCTACGACAAAGGTACCCTCAAGATCCACTATAATGCTGTGCACCTGAAGATCAAGCATAAGTGCACCATTGAGGGGTGTAACATGGTATTCAGCTCCCTGAGGAGCCGGAACCGCCACAGCGCCAACCCCAACCCCCGACTGCACATGCCAATGAACAGAAACAACAGGGACAAAGATCTGCGGAACAGCCTGAACCTGGCCAGCTCTGAGAACTACAAGCGCCCAGGTTTCACCATGACCTCACCAGACTGTAGGCCTCTACCCAGCTATACTAGCTCAGGGGAGGATTCCAAAGGCCAGCCGGCCTTCTCGAGCATTGGACACAATGGTGTCCTGTTTCCCAACCTAAAGACAGTCCAGCCAGTCCTTCCTTTCTACCGCAGCCCAGCCACTCCAGCTGAGCTAGCCAACACACCAGGAATTCTGCCTTCTCTCCCGCTGTTGTCATCTTCAATCCCAGAACAACTGATTTCAAATGAAATGCCATGTGATGCCCTCCCCAAGAAGAAATCCCGTAAATCCAGTATGCCTATCAAAATAGAGAAGGAAATTGTGGAAATAGCTAGTGAGAAGAGGCACACCCTCAGCTCAGATGAAGACATGCCCTTGCAGGTAGTCAGTGAGGATGAACCAGATGCCTGCAGCCCTCAGTCAGTCCATGCATCTGAGGAGCAGCACCTGCAGTTAGGACACGTGGGAAAGCCTCTTCTCAAAGGAGAGAGGCCTCACCATCTCAAATCAGTGATTGAGTCCAGTGGAACCATCCGCCGAATCCCCGACCAGGCCATGCACAACTCTGAGAAGGAGCCTGAGCAGAAGCCATCGTTGACTTTGGTGCCAAGGGAGGTTGAGGACAGTGACTGTGACCACCACCTCCCCCCTGGATTGGAGCACCTTGGTCCCTTTCCTGACTACATCAAACTGCAGCAGCATCTACTGGCTGGGAGCCTCTTCAGTGCACTGTCCAACAGGGGAATGGCATTTCCTTGTTTTGAAGATTCTAAAGAACTGGAGCATGTGGGTCAGCATGCAAAACAGAAGGAAGAAAATCGCTTCCAGTGTGACATCTGTAAGAAGACCTTTAAAAATGCTTGCAGTATGAAAATGCACCACAAGAACATGCACACCAAAGAAGCACATCTGTGCACAGTCGAGGGCTGCAATGCTACCTTCCCTTCCCGCAGGAGTAGAGACAGGTAAGACATTGGTTGGCAGTCATTTCTAAGGTTCTTAAATTTGAATGTGTATCAGAATCACCTGAAGGGCTGGTGAAAACGCAGGGTGCTGGGCCCCAGCCTCAGAATTTTTGCTTCAGCTGATCTGGGTGGAGGTCTGGAGTTTGTGGTTTTAACGCATTCCCAGGCATTGCTGAGTGTTGCTGATCTGGGGGATGTTGTTTAACAAACACAGGTCTACAGGCCCACGTTTCTGAATTTTCAGTTCCAAAATCTAAACTCATTTGGATTTATTGTGGGAGTGTTAACATAATATCACACAGTATATGCACCATTCTGCCTTTCTGATCTGAAATCTGAGAAATTCTGAATTCAGAAACACATCTGGCCCCAAAGGTTTGAGATAAGGAATTGTAAAGTAGTTCTCACATTGGTAGCTTGGGTAAAAGATAAATAATAATTTGAAGAAAATGTAGCTTCCCAAAATGTGTCCAATTTTCATTTCATAATTCAAAGTCCATCAAATGAAGCATGTCCTCTGATTCTAATTAATGATCTATATTTGAAAGGAGACTAACTTTAGAGATTTTTTAAATATTAAAATATGAAAGAATAAAGGCAATTGACCTTTATTCTTCAGAGTTACTTCAGAGTCTGTGATGTGTGGTTGAAAGATAAGAAAAGTATGTTGGTGCTGACTATTCATGATAGACAAACTGTTTACAAAGCACCTAGGTATAGAGGTTATCTTGTCACTCCAGGGGACCAGGGGATGGTGGCAGGGTTACCATGTGGCTCATGCTGTTCATAATGAACTTGAGTCACTTAACCACTCTCTAGGTCACCCTCCTCCCCACCCTATCAGGGAAGAGCCAGCATACCAAAGTGAACCCCACAGAGGCTTAAGGAAAGGATGAGCTATCTGATGAAATGCAATCTGATAGATGCTAAATCGTTTTTAGAATTTTAACGTGCTGCAGTTGCTCAAACAAGCTTGACTTTAAGCCCTTCAGCAACACTACTAACTTGTCCAAATTGCAATGCCTAATTTATTAAGAAAGAAAAAAATAATTTCCCACACACGTTCCTGAACAGGGCTGTTAGGAACACACTCGTTTTTAGTGTAGAAGGTAGAGAGCATAGGTGATATTAGTGAAAAACCACCAGAATACCCTAATTAATGAACCAGTTCCTTGCTTTCATTCTTCTTAGAGGCAAGAATGTTAATGAAAAAGCCATTGTTAAGAAGATGGGAGCCCTGGTGGCACAGTGGTTAAACAATAGCTGCTTACTGGAAAGGTCAGGGGTTTGAACCCACTAGTTGTTCCATGGGAGAAAGTCCTGGTGATCTTCAAACATTGTAGCCTTGGAAACCCTGTGGGGCCATTCTTCTCTGTCCTAGAGTCAGAATTGACTCGACAGCCATGGGTTTGGTTTTTATGAAGAAGACACAATCATATCAGTGATATTATCCTCAATATTTATGACACTGTTCTAGCCTAAAATATTTACTAAATTAGAAAGCATATTGAATTCAAGATACTTTTTTAAATATTTAATGTTTTCCTACCTAATGGTTAGATACAAGCCTCCTCTTGCATCAGAGAAAAGCATCTGGCATTCTAAATTAAAACTACTAATCCCAGTAGTCTAGAGCTTGGAATGCATTTTACCTGGAATCTGTGATAAAGATGGTACCATTTTAGATAGGGCTTGGTGAGCAGGCTCAGGTCCACCACCATTTTTATCGAGTCAGAGAGAACTGCATTGGTATAAGGATATCTGACTTCCCCTCCTGGAGCCACTGCTTCTGCCAACAGCAGTTGCTAGGACCCATCAGGAATTGTCTGGGACAGCACCCTGGATGCTTATGTAGACAACAGCTATGTATTGAACACTTTCTGTGACAGATGCTGGGGACCCAATCCCTATCCGTGAAGGCCTTGTAGCTGAATGAGGTAAGTGCTAGGATGGGGAGGTGTGGGCTACTATGGACAAACTGGAGGGCACCTAGCTGGACTTTGCAAGAAGTTAGAGTAGACTTCCTGGAGGAAGCATGCTGGTGAGTCTAAACCAGCAGCTGTCAAATGTTTTGGTCTCACAGCTCCTTTACAAACTTAAATCCCGAGTCCTCTCTAGAACTTTTGTCTGTTTGGGTTATATCTATCAATATTTACCAATTTAGAAATTAAAACAAAATGTTATTTATTATAGCCCTTAAAAACAATAATAAACCTATTATATGTTAACATAAATAACATATTTTTATGAAAATAATGACATTTTCCAAAACAAAAATTTAGTGAGAAGAGTGGCTTTGTTTTACATTTTTGCAAATGTCTTTAATATCTGGCTTAACAAAAGACAGCTGGATTTTCATACCTGCTTCTACCTTCACTCTGTTGTAGTATTCCATGTCTTGTTACTGCTAAAAAACTCCACTGTATGCTTATGAGAAAATGGGAGTGAAAAATGCAAATAATGTCGTAGTGTTGCTATGAAAAGAATGTTGACTTTGAGGATTCCCCTGAAAGGTTCTGAGGGATGATGAGGGGTGCTCATACCACACTTTAAGAACATCTGGTCTCTACTGATTTAAACAGTCAGAAGCCAGGGGAGAAGACATGGAGGAAGGGGTAGAAGTTGACAAGAATAGAGAGAGGATAGGCATTGGGGACAGCATTCGCAAACTCCTGGAAGCAGATAGCCTGGCAGATGATCCAGATGGCTTTTGCACTTGTGATGGACACCAGTCTTAGGGGACATGACACCTCAGGAAATATGTGTAAAACCCTCCAAGGCTTGAGGAGGAAAGAGAGGAGCCCACAAGTTAGCTCTTGGTATTCATGGGACACTAAAGAGTTAAGCACAGGACAGCAGGGATCTTTCTATACAAGGTTCCAGTAAATGTGCTGGTCTGACTTTTTTTTTTTTTTTTTAACAACTTGTATATACTGGAATCTGTATGTCAGTCTAGTGTCTGGTTTTCTGCTGACACACACCACCCCCTTCAACCCAAAATGCTGATACAATCACAGGCAGAGTTGCAATTGAGAAGAGCTGCTTGCAAAATGGGTGATCTGGGAGTAGAATTCTGATTATGACTAGAAGAATGTGTAAAGGGATAGAAGAGAAAAGTCGAAGAGTAAATTTTATACTTTTCTTTTTTAAAAAATATGTTTAAGTCCCGCCCTCATACACACGGCTTTGGAGATTCAGAAAATCCAATACTTAGTTATTTTGGTGAAGGTTTTTTTTCCAGTTTGACCTTGACATGTATTCTGATCTGTATTTGGGGAGATACTGTCCCTCTTTAGTATCATTTTTCTATCACCTTTAAGATGGTACCCCCAGGTTTTTCTTGTCAGAAGTTGGCCAGGGGATATCTAACTAAGGCCATTGGTTGACAAGTTATATCTAAATATCGTATGAGTAAAAGATTTGTGCCATAATGGATAGTCATTATTTTCCCTTCAGGAATAATCATTGGGTAAAAGATTGGTGGTATACTCACAGTGCTGCATTTGCAAAACTCTTGTCTGGTATATAGTGAAACATTGAAAATATTAACTAAACTCTGCAAATATGAACTAAACTCTGCACATGTGTGTGCGCACACACACACACACAGTTTCTAGTCAATCAGATTTTTACTGACAGCTGTAGAACTTCAAGGGTGATATACTTGCAGACAAATCTTCTAGACCAGCCCTGTGCAATAGCAATGTGATGCAGACCACATAGGTAACTTTAAATTTTCTACTTGCCATATAAGGAAGCCTGGTGGTGTAGTGGTTAAAGTCAACCAGAAGGTTGGCAGTTAAAAACCACCAGCAGCTCTGAGGGAAAAAAGACTTGATGATCCATTTCCGCAAAGATTTACAGCTTTGGAAACCCTATGGGGTAGTGCTACCCTGTCCTTTAGGGTCAAGATGAGTTGGAATAGGCTCAGTGTCACACAACAACAAGTAACCACATTTAAAAAATTAAAAAGCAGTGAAATAAATTTAAATAATATATTTAATTCATTACATCCAAAATACTGTTATTTCAGTATATGACACTAGCCAGTTTCAAGTGCTTAGTAGCCATATAGGACTAGTGGCTAGTATATTGGACAATGGAAAAGATGATATTTCCTAATCAGTTAATCAGTTGCCATGGAGTCAGTTTGGACCCAAGGTAACCTCATGTGTGTCAGAGTAGAACGCTATGATTTCCAATGGCTGATTTTTCAGAAGTAGATCACCAGGCCTTTCTTCTGAAGCATCTGTGGGTAGACACGAATCTCCAACTTTTTGGTTTATATCACCCATGGACTCCTAGTTTCATTAAAATGAAGTCGTCTGCTTAGTTTTCTTATGGATCGTGAGTAGCTTTCTTCTGGGATCTCCTGATTCTAGTGTCCCACTTGAATTGGTCTAATTGAAGAAGTTTAGCCATCCTCACCTATACAGGAAGTTACATGCCAATTAGGTGGTGGAAATTGAGGAAATCTGCATATTACAAGTGTGCAGCCTGTTGGCTTTCCTGGTGACTGTTAACTTCTGACAAGGGGTGAATGGCAGTGGATTGGTGTCCACTAAACATCCATTTTATGCTGCTGGGGCTTAAGCCCTTTACCATCACTATTCCCATGCCACTAGAGTTTTTCTCCTGGTATCCCTCTAGTATCTCCACTCAGAATGATGGCTATTCTTAAAGCATCAGCCCAACCTATTGCTAACCATCTTTTCACTTTTTTAGACACAGTTCAAATCTAAACCTCCACCAAAAAGTTTTGACCCAAGAAGCATTGGAGAACAATGAAGACCATTTCCATGCAGCTTACCTTCTGAAAGATGTGGCTAAGGGGGCCTATCAGGATGTGGCTTTCGCACAGCAATCTTCCCAGACATCTGTCATCTTCAAGGGAACAAGTCGGATGGGTAGTCTGGTTTACCCAATAACCCAAGTCCACAATGCCGGCCTGGAGAGCTACAACTCTGGCTCCCCAAGTGAGGGCACCATCCTCGATTTGAGTACTACCTCAAGCATGAAGTCAGAGAGCAGTAGCCATTCCTCTTGGGATTCCGATGGGGCAAGCGAGGAAGGCAGCATGCTTATGGAAGACAGTGATGGTAACTGTGAAGGGCCAAGCCTTATCCCCGGGGAAGATGGCTACCCCATCTGTGTCCTGATGGAGAAGGCCGACCAGAGCCTGGCCAGCCTTCCTTCTGGGTTGCCCATAACATGTCACCTCTGCCAAAAGACATATAGTAACAAAGGGACCTTTAGAGCCCACTACAAAACTGTGCACCTCCGCCAGCTCCACAAATGCAAAGTGCCAGGCTGCAACACCATGTTTTCATCTGTCCGCAGTCGAAACAGACACAGCCAGAATCCCAACCTGCACAAAAGCCTGGCCTTATCTCCAAGTCACCTTCAGTAACAAGATGGCAGACCAAGTATGCTTGAATAAGCATTCATTATAATTCAGGAATAAGGTAGTCCAAAGAAATGCTCCTGGCTTTGTTCAGTACCATTTGGGGCAAGCCAGGCTAAAAGTATTTGATTTAACTTTATAGTTTTCCACAATGGGATGAGCAAAAGAAAAATCTTGTGGGAAGTTGACATTGAGGCCACCCTTCCAAGTATTATTTTTCTTAGCCCAAGAGGTTTTTTTCACTAACGTAAAGAAACCTTGTAGGAACTCAGTTTTTCTCAGATTTGTTTACACGTTCCCTGGGGGAGCCCCAGGTCTGCAGATCAACAGGGGTCCAGGACTGGGGGAGGAAGGTTTAAAGGGAGGCTTGCAGTATTAAAGATTAAGTGTGTGTTGGGGAAGAAGTCTGTCACCAAGGGTGAGAAGCCAACCCCAAAGATCCTATTTTCAGTTCCTTCTTTAATGAGTATAAATCCAGGCTGGAGTTTGAGGGGAGAAATGACTTTTCTGAGACCATCCCTCCATTTGGAGTGGAGAATTGCTTTTTTTTTTTTTTTCAATTCTAAAGGTCTCATGTTACTCCAGGGAGTTCTCAGAGGAAGAAAGTTGGTCTCTAACATGTTCCTTGTTAATTCTTAATCTGTAACACAAGTTCAAGAAGCTAGGGGAACACATCTCATGCCCTTAAACAATAGTGGTCTTCAATTTAATTTAAAAATAATTTTGATACTATTTAATTTGTGTTTATGCTACACAAGTATTTAGTGTGAGTGCAAACATCATGGTATACCCACAAGTTATACATGTTTGCTGTTGTAGAAAGGAAACTTTATCAGTCCTGTGAAACACTACCATCTCCTGAAATTCAGCCTTTGTGGTACTCTAGAAGCCTGTGGTTAGTAAAGAGAAATTGATTTTGTATCCAGAATTCAAATTCACCATCTTTTAACTTTATGGTTGATTTAAGTAGTGAAAACATCCCAAAGAGATATGATTCCTCTGGCCTACAGGTGAAAAAAGCCAACAACCTGTTACCAATTATTTCAAAATTTATATATATATAAATTTGACCTCTTTTAATGGTTGTCTCTGCTTGAAGTGAGATGTATCTTTCGACTGTTCTATTACCCAGCTGTTTAATATTCCAGTTTCCCCAAAGTAGAAAAATTTGTATACAAATGAGTTTTCTATGAGTTAATAAAAATATATGACATACTTTTTGTTTAAAAAGGCAAACATTTGTCTAAGTGTTTTTGTCTTGACTGTTTTGTATATGTGCTTGTGCAGGGATACACACACACACAGAAAATGAATTTTACAAAGCTGAAAACTTGGGGGGGGTCTATTGGGCAGGGAATAACATCAGTGTCTTAGTTTCCTAGGGCTGCCATTAAAAAAAAAAAAAAAAAAGCCACAGATAAGTGACTTTAAAGAAAAGACATTTATTGCCTTAACATTTTGGAGGCTAGAAGTCCAAATCAGAGCATCGGTTCTGATGGGGAGGGTCATTCCTTGTAGGTAGCCCTGGGCATTTCTTGGACTGTAACCAGATCCTCACATGGTCTCTTCAACCTGTGTGTGACTTTATCTGTCCTTTTTTTAATAAGAACCACTCAGAAGGAATTAGGTTTAGGACCCACTGAATTCTGGTAATGGATTCATTAGCATAACAAAACTTCACTTTCAAAATGGGGTCACATTTACATGTACAGTGGTTAGGACTTCAACATTCTGTTAGGGGACACAGTTCTTAAAAATAACTACTGCCACATCCAGAAAGAAATTGCAACAGTGAGTTCAAAAAGAAAGTGATTATTGGGAAAGGGGATCAGGGTATTGATCTTTTATCAAGGAAAATACAAAGTGATTTTTTAAAAAAACTGTGCTATCAAAGATAATAGCCAATGCTCAAAATAGAAAGCAAGAGATTTACACTTCTTTCTTAAATATCTGGGGCTTAAAAAAAAAACAACTTAAGTTTTTATGACTTACCTTTAACTTCTTCATTTCTTTTATGTATAAGAATATGGTCTCATCTACCCATTGACCACCCACCCATGTCCTTGTTCATGCTTCATTGAGAGGAAAGAAATCATTAGAGGGGAACTATCTCACTTGTCAGTACTTATACATGCACCCTACTCCAGGCTATATCATCTCTTGCCTAAATGACAAATGTAGCCTCCTAACTGGTCTCCCTGCTTCCACTGTTACCCTATAGTGGCCAGAAAGATCTGTCCAAGATGTAAATCAGAGCAGGAAGTGCCTCAGCTGAAAACTTTCTAGTAGCTTCCCAGAATGGTATAAAATACCAAAGACCATCCTATGGCCTACAAGGCTCTACAACATCTTCCCATCCCTGCTGCTTTTCTTTCCCTATCTTCTTTTCCTACCAGTCTTTTTCCATCACAACTCTTGTTAACTTTTCTTTGTTTCTCCACAGTAGCTCTTCCACCTTGCACTTTGCAAGGTCCTAACCCACTGACAATCCATATTCATAGTAACTGACTTCACTTCCTACTCTCAGAGAATTGGATGGGCATCCCATCAGCTTCTCCATTGCTCACTACCTCTCCATCGTTGTTGTTGTTAGGTGCCATCGAGTCAGACCCCACTCAGTGACCCCTCCTTGGGTTTCTAAAGCAGTATCACTACAGAAGTAGATTGTCCAACCTTCCTTCCAAGGAGTGGCTGGTGGGTTTGAACTGCCAGCCTTCTGGTTAGCAGTCAAGTGCCTTAAGCACTATACTACCAGAGCACCTCTCCATCAGGCGGTCAGAATTCACACCTGTCTCTGTGTGGTCCCATCTTCCTGGACCTGAGAATGCACTTCATGCCTGGTGGTAGTGGACAGTTACAGTGAGCTGAAAACCTCTAAGAGAGGGTAACCAGGATTCCCCTGCACCCCTTGCCCACTTGTTGTCATACTCGGTCCTGTCATCATCTGTCTAGGCTCAACACCTATCATTGAGGGATCCGAATTTTCCCTAGCTCAACCTTTCTCATTCTGTTCACGTGTGTCTTTGAGCAGCTATGTGAGTCTGGGTCTTCTGAGAAGCAGATAGTGACAGGACTAAATGTGCAAGTATTTTATTAAGAGAAACACTTGTGACATAAAATAGGAAGGGAACCGGAGAAGGCTGGGAGAGCTGGCAGACACAGTGCAAGTCTGACCCCAAGTGAAAGAGAGGAAGGAAAGGTTGGGTAGAAGGATCCAGAACTGCTATACATGTTAAGGAAGGTTTAGCAAAGCCATGATGGAGTCCTTAAGCCAGGGTCAACCATCAGAGCAGTCCTGAAGCTCCTGGGAATAGGTTTGCCTTACTTAGAAGCCCTGTTGCACTTAATCACTGGCTGGGAGCACTCCATGGAAACTGGCCTCGGTGCAAACATGGGAATGGATTTCAGAGCGAGTAAACCAGGGCCTTTGGCCAAATCACACCTCTGTAATGGCACTGTGTCTTGTTCAAGGTGGATTCAAACCTGTACTTTTCTCAGGACTCGGAAGAGGGGCACCTTTTTCATTTTGAGGGTTGATACCCTCACCTTGAGCTCTGGTGGCACAGTGCCTAAGCCATTGACTGCTAACCAGAAAGTTGGCGGTTCAAACCCACCAGCCACTGTGAAAGGAAGACTGAGAAATCTCTGTAAAGATTTAACACCTCAGAAGCCCAAAAGGGGTCACTGAGTAGAATTTGACTCAATGGCAGTGAGTTTGGGTTTTCGTTTACCCTCATTTCACCCCTCTAGCCCTCAGGGATATTGCTCCATCACTGCTCCCCTTATTCATTATCAAACTTATCCTTGCTGCTGATCCCATCTCTAGCCTATAACATTCTCAAATCTCTCTCTGAATGATTAGAAGAAAGAAAAAAGATCTCTGCCCTTCTTCTGATCCTTTCTAGTGTCCTAATGATATCTTTAATATAGTAGGTTTTGACTTTGCCTGTCCCTTAATAACTGCATTCTTGTTTCTCCTGACCCTAATAAGGGCTCCACTCTCAGCAAGGTTCCCAGTGACTTCCTGATGGTTATATCCAAACAACATGTTTGGTTCTTTCTTGTCTCACTCCTTAAGTATTGGCATCCCCAGGTCACAACCCTGGCCCTCCTCACTGTATATGTTCATTCCAGTGACTCAACTGCTATCTGCAGGCTGCTGTTGTGTGCCGTTAAGTTGATTGTCAACTCGAAGCAATCCCATGTGAAGAGTAGAACTACCCCACAGGGTTTTCTAGGCTATAATCTTATGGAAGCAATTCCATTCCTAGGTATCTACCCAAGAGAAAAGAAAATGTCCACATAAAGCTCTTGTAATTCTTTGTCCTATAGGGTCCCTAGGAGTCAGAATTTACTCAATGGCAGTAGGTTTGGTTTGGATCTTAGATACTCACTTCTCAAAGTGTCTGCAGCATCAGCATCACCTGGAGCTTGTAAGAAATAGAAATTCTAACTAATACTACTACTACTACTACTACTACTACTACTGTGGACCTGACTGTGAAATAGACCATCAGTTGCTCATATGCAAGTTCAAGTTGAAGCTGAAGAAAATTAAAACAAGATTCCCCATGGGGGAGCCAAAATAAGACCTTGATTATACCCCACCTGAATTTAGAGACCATCTAAAAAACAGATTTGACACATTCAACACCAATGACCAAAGACCAGATGAGTTTGGGCATGACATTAAGAACATCATAAACAAAGAAAGCAAAATGTCATTTTAAAGACAGGAAATGAAGAAAAGACCAAAATGGATGTCAGAAGAGACTCTGCAACTTGCTCTTGAATGGAGAGTGCCTAAAGTTAGTGGAAAAAAATGATAAAAGAACTGAACAGAAGATTTCAAAGGGAGGCTCAAGAAGACAAAGTAAAGTATTATAAGGAAATGTGCAAAGACCTGGAATTAGAAAACCAAAAGGGAAGAACATGGTCAGCAATTCTCAAGCTGAACGAACTGAGAAAAAAATTCAAGCCCCAAGTTGTAATATTGACGGATTCTAAGGACAAGCTATGATATTTTCAATAGCCTCATATGCATGTGAAAGCTTGACAATGAATAAAGAAGACCAAGGAAAAGTTGATGCTTTTGAGTTACAGTGTTGGT